TTTAAAATTTATCTGAGCACGGGTTTTGATTTTGTGTATACTTTTTTTTTAATTTTAAAAAATTTTATTTCTGGTGGTAGTGTTGTGGTGGTGTTCAGAAAAGATAAGTTTCCAGTTTTTCTTAGAAGCAGTATTACGTTTCTTTGACCACATATGGCTATATGTTGATTATTGGTGACTGAGTGAAATTACACTAACTGCTTATTTTTTTGCGTTATCTTTGCTACAACTATGGTAGTGAATGAACTTAAAAGAGTCTTTTTGATTTTCTTACTGTTATTTATTTTATAGTTTGATGAGATACATGGAAAAATTCTGGCATTTTTTTAAGAGATTGTTAATAATCAAAACAGTAAGGGTTTTGAAAATCTTGAAACGTTTTAGGAACAGGTCGATATTGATGATTTTTTCTTTTAAATGTTTGTAATTATTAAGTACCTATATACTTCCTTTTTAATTTTTGTATGGCATACCTAGTACTAAAGCAAAACCCTTAGCATTGGTAATTGTGCAACAAGGAAGATAGGACATCATTGGAAAGGCTTTCCTTCTCTGAATTTGGTGAGACTATAATTTTTTAGATTTGATATTTTCGAAATATTTGAAAAGTAAGTTGAGGGCGCGCTGTTGTTTATGTCATTGGAAGGATGTCGGGCCGATCACTATGTAATAGAAGCTAATGCGATCGTGCGTCAAAATTATGCAGTTGCAAGTGGTATAAAAAAGAGAAAACTTGTACCTCCAACGTCGAATGCGCTGGAAATGAAACAACTAAACCAAAAAAATCACATATCCGAATTCAGAGATGGGCGACCTTACCAACGATGCATCATTTAAGATTTTAAGGGTTGCACTGTCAGCGATGCGAGACAAAGACATTAGTGAGCAAGTTTTATTTTAGACACTGTTTCCTTCCATGATCAATTTGACGTGCCAAAGCGTTTTTTGAAAATTATTTTAATTTACAGAAATAGCTATGTATCGTTTCTAATGCACCACCGTATATTATTTAGCTTTGGAGAAATAACACCAAAATCTCCCCATAAAAATTGTTATAATAATAAATGGGTAGATTTTGTTGTTATTTCTCCGAAGCTTCTTAAGCACCCCATTGAGAATCATGGATCTTCACAATTTCAGTATATTATTTAAATAATAGCCACATAATTTATAGCAAGATCAATTTTTTTCACGATATTTATCAAAATTTGTTGCTTTTTTCCTTACTTTACAGTTCTTATCTCTTTAATTTTACGGAAACTCTCAAGAATCAATTTGTTTTACGTTCAAATATGATTACAATTTACTTGAGATTCTTTTAAGACAATACATGTCTTAATGTCTTGTATATGTCCTTTAAATGGACGACATCGAAGATTAGAGAACTAGGAAACTTAACTTGCAACTATTAACAAATAATAATTGTTAAAATTTTATTTAGACCTTTATATTCCTATTGCAATATTATTTGTACGTGCTAAAAGGTTTCCAAATGAAAAAAACCTTCATTGTGAATTGGTACAATAAAACTGGGTAAACAGGTTTAAGAAATGTCAGGTGACAGTTTTGCTGATAGACCGATACCAGCGTTTAGGAGCATCCGTCTACTTGTGAACATGGTGCATGGACAATTTACATCACGGATGAGTGTCTTTTTACCTTTTTTTTTGTTTTTTTTTTAAATAAATTTTCATTCATGGTAGCTTTAACAAGTGTTCTCATGTTTAATACGGAGATTACAATAAAATAAGTACTAAATTCCAGATTTTGAGTAATATGGATGCTATTAAAGTGACCTAATATCTCTACTGCTTCGATATGGTCCATTCCATTTAAAAAGGTACATAGGATTGTACGTATGAATTCTTGCCTCATAAATACTATTAAAAAAATTATTCCTCTACAAATTGTATGCCTATTGTTTAACCAACATAAATATTTAAGTGCCACATTAAAATGCCAAAATCAAGGAAAATATCATCAAAAATGGACTTGTCCCTGAGGCTAAAAGTTGAAATTTGATTTGTTACAAAAAGTTGATAATGGATATGAGATTTAGGTGGTGCAAACTATACGGGCGCGTAACAATGGAGTTCGATACAACGAAAAGGGGAAAGAGATACATAATCTATGAAAGATACATGTAGGTACCTCTTTGCTAAGAACCTTAAACTCCAAAACTCCTCATCATGGCTGTGTCGAGCGAGAAGAGCAAAGAAGTATCCATCGGCTCTTCGTTTGACATGCAATGCCAGGATCTGGGTCAACGATGACAAGGTAAGATTAGCTAAACCGAGCACTGATTTTGGAAGTGCAGATGGTTTCCAGTTTCAAAGCCCTTAATTGGGTATTTTATTAGTTAGGATATCGTCTTTTGACCTTTTGACTTTTTAATACGTAAGTTTCATCGTTGCTTATAGCGTCGTCTAATGTTAGTTTTTAGGTTCGGCCCTCCCTTGCAAAAAATTTAGTTTATCAACCTCTTCAAATTTCAGTTTTACTCTGGAACCAACCACGGATATGGTCGTTGGGCTTTCCAGTTTTAATGCCCTTTTGGGTTTTTAATTGTTTTCCATCTATTGTAAGTTTTATAGCTATAGTCTCTCCTCAATGATCTCTACCATCTTGTAGACCACCTGAAGATGACCGTTGGTCGAATCATGTAGTGTATCACTTCGTTTTATTAAATTATATGGGAACGGTTTAGAGAACTTTTATTCAATATTAATCAATTATCCCATTTAGAGTTTGAACACAAAATGGACATCACGATTCCAAATTATACCTTACTATTGAAAGTATCCAAATTTTAAATGTAGGTATACGTCTATTACATGCATAAAGTAATAAAACGTGATATTGGTGGGTAATATTGGAGATTTGAATACTTCACAGCCGTTAAAAGTCAACCATACACAAATACCCTCTCAGGGGAGCGAAATTCCGGTGCGAATTTTCCGGGTGCGAATTGTCCGGGAGCGAAACGTCCGGGTGCGAAATATCTTTGATGCGAATTTTCTTTGATGCGAAATGTCCGGGTGCGAATTATTCGGGTGCGAATTGTCCTACAACCCTACAACTTGTATACGCAACGCGTAGATCTTATAGGTGAATGAAATAATAGCCCATCCGCCCTCACCACCCCATTTGATAAAGGATTCACATTCGAAAAAATATTATTCTTATGGTCATTTGGACCGACAAATTTAAGTGGAGCTTAGCATAATCCATGACAACGATTATTGAGACAATTGTTGCCATGGATTTTAAGCTACGCTTAAGCTAAGCTCCACTTAAATTTGTCGGTGCAAACAGCCATTAGTTAGCATAGGGCCAATTGTAAAAAATTCTGTTCCTTTAATAATCGTGATCGAAATTTGAAAAAGCACAAAAATGCCTCAGATATAAACGACTGAGTCGCACTTATTGAACTAATATACCTCTAAAAATATAAAGAAAATATTAAAAATACTCAACCGTTTTTGAGATCTGTGGAAAATACATATCTAAATACACCAGCAGACAAACAGAACGATCGCTAAAGCCTCAGTTCATTCTGTAATACCTTTTATAAATAAAACAATCAAAAAATCAGAAAATTTAAAAAAAAGAAAAAGAGCACCTCAACTTAGAACAAAAAAAATACATACCCGACGGAAACGAGGCCTAACCCAAAGACCTTAGAGTGCTATCTTTAAAAAACAAAGTCTCATCAAATAAAGGTCATTGTTACCTTTGCCATTACTCATTTTTAAATTAATCCATGAATAACAAATTATTTGTTGAACTGGTATTAGGTAATACAATATAAAAAAATAAAATTTGATCTCGTTAATCAATCTATAGTGAACAATTAAAAATACAGTGGACCAACAGCAATATTTGCCAAAATGTGGTGGTGGAAACAAAAAACAACAAATTGTATAGAAATGGTACTACGATCATAATTTTGATAACGCGCTTTTATAATGAGTGCTGTAAGACCTGCCGAGTCATTGCGTGCTAATAATAAATGCCTGTTAGCTATGACCAAATAAGTTTGATTAGTTAATAGCCAAAAAAAAACTATTTGGCGCTTTGATTTAATTAACGTCCCACGTTCCGTCCTTTTTTACGCGAGGAACGGGATTAAGTGTCGCGTTAATTAGATCAACACGTAATAAATCTTTGCGTGCCGTTGACGCTCCAGTGTAGAATAATTAGTAATAAAACCCGCAACTTCACTTGCATAGTTTTGCGAAAGAATTGGTCCTTTTTTTAGACGCGCATACTACACTTGAAATTTATTGATTCCACCGGATAAGACAAGATGATCAATTTAAAGAACCGTTACGAAGAGAGCTTCGCGACGAAATTCTTAAATGAACTGCCGGCATCATGATTTACTCGAGTTACGAATTGCATGCTAAAAAGTGAAAGTTACGAGGTAAACGCGCCATGCAAGAAACATGTGCGACTTGAAATGTACAAAACGACGCCTTAAATTTGCAAGATGCCTAAGATAAGTTGGTGCCTTTTCGTTCCGCATAATATAATAAATAATGGCGTTGGGGGTAATTATTCTTATGCGAATTTAGATCTAAGAAAATTGTTTACCTACAATTTGTGCGGAAAGCTTAATTGTTGGGTTTAAAAGACGTCTCCTGTTATTACTTAAATTACAATCTCGCTCTGTGTAATTATGGGGCCTGTTTTTCTATTACCACAACCACAAGTCTTTGGCGAGGGTATTGTCGCAAGATTAGAAAAAAATTATAGAAGTGCGTTGCTCTGGTACAATGACCAATCGGTACAATGAGGCATCTAAATTGTCACTTCTAGAAAGAATTTTAGGTGACACTTTTTTTTAAATTAACAATGACCGGCCGTCTCCCAACACTGAACAGTTTTATGTTTGAACAACCAACTTTTTCAATAATTGCTCGATTGATTTCCGTGTAGTCGTTTCAAAAATACACCCTCACACTAAACCAAACTACTACCAACTAAATATTCCGGTGTGCATTCAATAAATTGCTGAACATGTATTAGAAATAGTTTTCTCTTTTACATAGGTAATACACTATTATCTATATTAAACTCATTTTTCATTATAATAATCCGCAACCTGTTGTAACGTTTTGCCTTCTGTCTCTGGCACTAGGAAATATGTAATGAGTAATCCTATAAAACAAACAAAGGCGAAAGTCCAGTACACTCCAGGAAAGGACATTAAAGCAATCATATCCAAATAAGCCAGATTTGCTGCAAACGAGGATATATAAAAAACACTTGAAATTAACCCGCATCCTACAGCGCGTGCTTCGTTTGGAAACACTTCCCCTATCAATACCCAGGGCAAGTTTTTAGGTCCGCAAAAAGCAATAAAACTAAAAGCTGAAAGAAGCAATAGTGGAATCCATTGGTAATCGTTACTGGATGTTGCCATATTTTCAGTGGTAAACTTTAAATTCGTAACATTATACATGTACGCGTAAATACCAATACAAATGTGACACATACAAAAGGCAAATATTGATGATATGGCTGTCTTGCGTTTTCCAAAGTGTTTAATAGAAAAAATACACAGCACACTTCCAAGTATGCCAGATGCACTCATTAAGACAACTGCGTAAAACTTATTAATAGGTACGTTGAATGTTGAAAAAATGACTGCACTGTATCTGGTCGTCGGACCTATGCCTATAAAACTTGACCAAATCATTAAAAATGCAAGTAAAGAGAATGGGATCACAAAGCTTCTTTTGAAATACTGTGTGGGCTTTATCACTGACGTATCAGCTTCACGCTGAGAACATCCCTTCTGTATTTCCTGAAACTCTTCTTCAACTTCTGCAACGGAAACCCATCCTCTCAGCCATGCGAGACTTTTACGCGCTTCGTCACATCTATTCTGTAGTAATAGCCAGTACGGAGTTTCAGGCACTATCATCAACATACATAGCGTTAGAATTGGCACACTGCATGTCACTAAAGCTGCTGTTCTCCAATGTAACATGCTACAAATAAAGGTTTCTAAAAGCATTCCAATATTCATCGCTAATGTTGTTGTCGTTGATAAAGCTCCCCGTAAGTGGGGTTCTGTTACTTCAGCCACGTACGTCAAAACCTACCATGTGAATAAATAAATCCGTTTAGCAAAATTCTACTTACGGGTGCTTCTGTAAAGCTACTTGATATACCATGCAAAGCTAACGTCGCGAAAATGTGCCAGGGCTCTTTCGCAAAATAGTAACCAATCCATCCAATAAAATTCGGTATCGTTAAACTAATAAGTGCGCGTTTTCTACCAATGCGATCCGAAACTAATCCAGAAAAGTAACATCCTACTAACGAAGAGATTGGCGAAATAGAACCTAAAATGGAGCAAATACGTGCTGATTATAGTTACAACCCACTTACTGATCCAAGATGTTTGCGCTTCACTTAAAATAATCGTCTCGTTCGAATTTCGGTCGGTGAGTGATGCAATTAAGATAGTTACATAGCCTACGCTCATTCCCTCTAACACCATTAAAAAATTTTTTGCCATAACGGCTATTACTTGAGACAAAACTCGCCTCATTTCAAGATATTTGCTTGATTTCATATTAGCGTTCTAATTTTGTAAAGGAATTGTCACAGTAAAGAGATATTTTCCTTGACGCTAATCTATACTCATTGAAAACTTATGTAGTATGTATTACGAAATAACAACTTACCTATCTAATTAGTTACGATTAGAGTGCTATTTTGCACACAATAGGCTATCTTTTTTAATTGAGTATCAACGTTTAAGGTTATTTACCATGTATGTAATGTAGTTCTCCATTATTTTGGGTTCGTTGTAAATTCTTAGGATATAAAAGGAACCACAAATGTTTATTAAATTTCTAAAAGGCGATCGATTTCGGGTTTTCTATCTACCCATCATCAGGCTAAAATATCACATGAATTCATGTGATATTTTAGCATGGCCTGATGATGGGTAGATAGAAAACCCGAAATCGATCGCCTTTTAGAAATTTAATAAACATTTGTGGTTCCTTTTATATCCTAAGAATTTATTTACCATGATCAGATTCATGGCAAATGTCATTTGTAATGCAATTTCTAAACTTAAGTTAAGTTCCAGGCTCACCAGGAATATGGATAGTAAGTTGCCTTTGAGGTGAATGAATAAAGTCAACAAAACAACTCGAAACTTTACTCAATTGGTACGAATGTTTACCTGTATCACCCCGTCCTATTCACTTTCTCTGGTAACTACAGTTCCAAGGTAGATTCCCTTACCAAACAGGTTACCATAACAACCAATTACCCCAGTTATATTTTTATACCTACACCTATTACATTAGTACCTGTCCGTGTATCCCTACTAAAATCGGAGGTTTTGCTGTCTCGGTAACGAGTGTCACGTCCCTTACTGCAATAAACCCCCGTTCTCCTTTTTGTAGAATAGCCTTCCAGGTATCAACTAAAAATAGTAATGGCGGCGGCGGAAACAGACCTGTCTGTGATCGCTCCAGTTAAACCTTGTCGAAAATGCAATAATATACCACAAAATGGGGTAAAATGTGTAGCATGTGGATCGTTACTACATCCAGGGTGCATAAAGTATTTGAAAAATGTGACAGTTATTAGTGATAATTTAGTAAATTGTTGTGAAGGTTTATTAAACATAAATGATAAACCAGTACGCGTTGACATTGACGAAGCAAGTCGTTTCCAATTAGATCATAAGGTCATGGAGATTGGATATCTAACTAGTATAATCCATTAAAAAGATCTTATTATACAAGCTCTCCAGGATACTGTAAGCTCACTTAAAGATCAAGTTAGTACCCTAAACTACCTAAGAAACATCGTGTCAAGCGATAAAGCAAGTTTCGTTAAGTGGGAAAAAAATGAGCCCTCAACGAAAAAGGTAGAAATGAAGAAACCTCTAGCGCTTCAACATTTTCTACTGTTGTTAAACCCGCTGTAGTGCAAAATGACGCCAATACAAAGGGGAAGCTTACCAAAAAATCCACTGGCAGAAATTCCGAGACCAATGGTACAAAAGTCGATGAGAATAAACCTAATTGTTGTCCTGGGCAGAGTTCAGGCCCCTCAAAAGCAGACGAGGAAGGTAGTAGCACCAATAGTGTCACCTGGACTACTGTCATTGATAAGAAAAAACGTGATCTTCCGCGAAAAGATGTAATTGTTGGAACTAAGAAAGTTAATGGTCCAAGTCTTTCAGGGGGCATAAAGGCCGCTCCAAAAACGTCACTAATCCACGTATGCCGCCTTGCACCAGAGACTACCGAATGTGAAGTAAAAACATACTTATCGAAAACCTGTGATATCATATCATGTGAAAAATTAAATTCAAAATTCCCCGAGATATATATGTGTAAGTGAATCGAATGCAGAACTGATCAAAGCCGCAAGTTTGTGGTCAGAAGGTGTCAAGGTAGCGCGGTTTTTTCAAAAGCGCCTGACACCACTGCAAGAGAGATAGAGACTGCAATCCCTTGGACGAAGTGTGATGATAACTTCAGCGTTTATCACATCAATATACAATGTTTATCGAATATAAAAATTGACGAATTTAATCTATTTCTAAAGGACAATAATTTCAATGTTGTTTGTATTTCAGAACACTGGATGACTAAAACTCAATTAGAGATGATCAACATTTATTCGTATTGTTTAGGTGATTCTTACTCTAGGACTGATAATATTCATGGTGGGGTAAGCATATTCTTAAAGAAAACTTTAAATTTTAAGTCCGTACAACTTCAAAAATACGTTGTTGAAATGCATGCAGAATTCTGCGGTGTTGAGATAGTTTCTAATAAAACACTAATTATTGTATTATATCGTCCCCCAGATGGGTCGACGGAAATTTTTATTCAGAATCTTGATCAATTACTGCATGATCTCTGTAATAACTTTCAGAATATCTTAATACTAGGCGATTTTAATCAATATTTTAATAAACCTGATAAGACGGTGAAACAATTGATAAACATCTAAACATATAACCTTAAGATTTGTATTTCGGAGTTTACTCGTGTTACCTGCACCTCTGCTTCTTGTATCGACAATATTGCAACGAATATTGACGATGATAAATATCTATCGGGTGTTGCGAAATGTTGCCTATCCGATCATTATGGTCAGTACATTTTTCTAAAGCACATCGTGTCTAGACCCGAAATAAAGAAAAGACAAATTTCAACTTTTAGAATAAATGATTTTCGCACTTTCACAAATCAACTGGAACGATATTAAATACAAGGGGTCGCGCAAACTTGCTTAATGATACTCTCAGCACTCTTGTAAATCAACATTTTCCTTGTCGTAGATCGATAGTGAAACCAAATTCTAACGTTACGTGGTTTAATAATAATTTGAAACAAATACTGCAAAAATAAGAGCAGATGTTACCAGGGACCCATTACATGCTCAAAAATATAGGTTACTAAGATCCAATTATCGGAAATATATAGTGGTTTCAAAAAGGGAAGCTTATAAAAATTTTATTAGTGCGTCTAAGAATAAAAGTAGAGATGGTTGGAAACTAATTAATATGGAAAGAAATAAAGTGAAGCAAACTGAAATTATGCTATCACATAATGAGTTAAATTCCCATTTTGTGACAGTTGCCAGTAAAGTACTTAGCGCAATCCCCGCATCGAGTAATCAGGTTGCGGATTATTTAAATAAATATCGTTCTCCTTCAAGCTCTTTTTATTTATCACCTTGTACATATGAAGAAGTTGTAAATACGGTAAAAAAGCTAGGAAAAACGAATAGTCTGGACGTATATGGCATAAACGGTAAGGTACTACAAAACTCGATAGACATCATTGGTAACTTTTTCACTGACCTACTGAACGATTGTTTCTTGGAAGGTGGAGTTCCATCCTGCTTTAAAATAAGTAGAGTTATTCCTGTTTTTAAAGAAGGTGATAAAACTTTAAAAGATAATTATAGACCAATCTCAATAATACCAACACTCTCAAAAGTTGCCGAAATCTTAATTAAAAATCGTCCAATGGAATTTTTAACTAAACACTGTATACTTAGCGATAGTCAATTTGGATTTAGACCACAGCATTCTACTATAAAAGCAGTACTTTCCTTAATTGAATATATATAATTGGGGCTCTCGAAAATAGGGAAATACCAATAGCGCTTCTTTATGATCTATCGAAAGCCTTTGACTGTGTGCATATTAATACAAAAATTAAATCACTATGGGATACGTGGTAAACATATTCCAATCTTATATGACAAATAGAAAGCAATGTGTCTCTTATAATAATTTCGCATCTAGCACTGAACCCATTCTGTATGGAGTACCGCAAGGGTCGATACTAGGACCGGCATTGTTCTTATTGTATATAAACGATCTATCAAATATAATTCATCCTCACAAATGCATTCAATATGCTGATGATACTACCATTTTATGTTCCGCTATGTATAAAGAACAATTAACATCTAGCGTAAGTCTAATTGAAGAGAGAGCACAGGAATGGTTGATTACGAACAAATTAAAAAACAATCCAACTAAAATGCAGAAAATAACTTTTACTACAACAAAAAATAAAAATAACAGATCAAATGTAAAGTTATTGGGTATACTTATTGATAATGAACCTGAACTGGGAGGCTCACATCGATAAACTTCGTATGAAGCTGTCAGGAAATATTTACCTTTTATGACAATTGCGAAAATCATTAGATGACGCTACATTATTGAGCTGCTATTTTGCAATATTCCACTCCATAATAAACTATAGTATTATTTTGTGGGGCGGAACTGCGTGTGCATTACGAGTATTTAGGTTGCAGAAAAAAGCAATACGCATCATAGCTAGACTTGGGACTAGAGACCATTGTCGTGCCTATTTTAAAGAATTAAAAGTTATGCCAATACCATGTATGTATATATATCAAGTACTACTTGAAATACATGCACGAGTAATTCACAGTAAACCAATCTCGGATAAGCGGCATCACGAGCACAATACAAGATATAAGGAACAGGTGTACAGGTTATGTTTGTCAAAAAGTAACTCACTTGGTCTCTTGCTCTATAATAAATTAAATAAGGAAATAAAAAAGTTACCATTACGGGAATTTAACCGAACATTAAAAAAATATATTATAGCAAATTGCTATTACAGTGCCGAAGAGTTTATGCTTGCCCCATAACCCTTCATTTATGTTAATACTGTTTGTTTTATATTTATTGATGTGTTTGTTTTATATTTTATTCATGTTTTTGATTGTTATATACCTACTTATTTTACATGTTAATATCCGGGACGAGACTAAGCAGTGTCAACTGAATGTCAAAAATAAATATTATTATTATTATTATTATTATAATCTATCTAATTACAGCTGAAGTCTGACCTTACCCGCTGGCGACTGTAGAGGGAAGACAAAAAATTTTTCTCCAGCGAGATGAAGTTTTATTTTTGTCGACGCAATCGTCTTCTTCGGAGGCAATTCGTCTCTGGTGAACCCATATACTCTATAGTATCAAAATGGCGCATAAAGTCCAACCCATTCGAACACGTTTTTGATTTGGCCGTCACCAATGGCGCGCAATGGTTTTTCATGTACGTGATATGAACTACGAAATAGTGAACTTATCACAC